ATGGGGTTTCACCATGCTGACCAGGATGGTCTCGATCTCTTGACCTCGTGATCCACCCGCCTCGGCCTCCCAAAGTGCTGGGATTACAGGCTTGAGCCACCGCGCCCGGCCCCACACCTAAGTGGTTTTAGTGAACAAAATTTAAAAGACGAGAACTAAAGCAGTTATAAATGTGCAGTAAAATTTTGGACCACTTTTAGGTAGACTTTGTAAAAAGACTTAAAAATTCTGATTACAAATTTTGCACTTTGGCTGGACGCTATGGCTCACACCTGTAATCCCAGCACTTTGGGAGGCTGAGGCAAATGGATCGTGAGGTCAGGAATTCAAAACCAACCTGACCAACATGGTGAAAACCCATCTCTACTAAAAATACAAAAATTAGCCAGGACTGGTGGCAGGCACCTGTAATCCCAGCTACTGATGAGACTGAGACAGGAGAATTGCTTGAACCTGGGAGGCAGAGGTTGCAGTAAGCCGAGATCGTGCCACTACACTCCAGCCTGGGCGACAGAGCAAAACTATCTTTAAAAAAAAAAAAAAAAAAAGGTCCAAGGCAGGAGCATAGCATAAAGTCAGGAATTTAAGACCATTCTGGGCAACAGAGTGATTTTCTCTACAAGAAAATTAAAAAATTAGCTAGACACAATTGTGTTGTGCCTGTAGTCCCAGCTACTCAGAAGGCCAGGGCGGAAGGAGCCCAGGGGTCAAGGCTACAGTGAGCCATGATGGCACCACTGCAGTCTAGTCTGGGCGACAGAGTGAGACTCTGTCTCAGAAAAAAATACTTGCTTTGAGAAGCCAAGGCAGGAAGATTGGTTGAAGCTAGGAGTTCAAGACCAGCCTGAGCAACATAGTGGGATGCTGTTTCTACAGAAAAGAAAAAAAATTAGCCAGACATAGTGATATGCACCGGTAGTCCTAGCTTTGGAGGCTAGAATTGCTTAAGCCCAGGAGTTTGAAGCTATAGTGAGCTGTCATCAAGCCACTGCACTTTAGCCTTGTTTGTAAAAGACTCTGTCTCTTAAAAAAATCATATTTTGAATAATATGTTCAAAATTAAGTCATACTCACCAGGAGCCTGTCTACCACTACCACTCCCAAGTTAGTAATTGACTACTTTTTTTTTTTTTTCTTTTTTTAGTGCTGTGTGTGTCCCTCTCTGTTTCCTTTCCCTCTCTGATGTTTTCTTTTCTTTACGTCGCCTTTATGCAGGTAGATGAAAGCAGATACGTTTTTCTCCTTTTCTGGTACAACATGGTAAACTATAGAATCTACTTTTCACTTTAATATTTTTTTTTTGATACGGGCTCTCGCTTTTTCGCCCAGACAGGAGTGCAGTGGTGTGATCTCGGCTCACTGTGTCCTCTACGTCCTGAGCTCAATCAATCCTCCTACCTCAGCTTCCCAAGTCCCGGACTACAGGAATGTGCCACCATACCCGACTAATTTTGTTGTTGTTTTATAGAGATGGTGTCTCCTCGTGTTACCCAGGCTGGTCTTGAACTCCTGGGCTCAAGTAGTCTGCCCACCTCAGCCTCTCAAAGTGCTGGGATTACAGGTGTGAACCTTTGTGACCCGACTACCTTACTTTTTCATTTAACGTGTTGAGGAGATCATTTCAAACCTGCTAAATAGAGAGCATCTTCACTTTTTAACAGCTGCATAGGATTCTTTTTTTTTTTTTTTTTTTATTTTTTTTTAGAGACAGATTCGCTCTTGTTACCCAGGCTGGAGTGCAATGGCGCGATCTCGGCTCACCGCAACCTCCGCCTCCTGGGTTCAGGCAATTCTCCTGCCTCAGCCTCCTGAGTAGCTGGGATTACAGGCACGCGCCACCATGCCCAGCTAATTTTTTGTATTTTTAGTAGAGACGGGGTTTCACCATGTTGACCAGGATGGTCTTGATCTCTTGACCTCGTGATCCACCCGCCTCGGCCTCCCAAAGTGCTGGGATTACAGGCTTGAGCCACCGCGCCCAGCCTAGCTGCATAGTATTCTAATGTGTATATTGGCTATAGTTCATTTAACGAAAGCACTGTTGCTGGACAGTTGTGTTAAATTTTCATAAAACATTTGTAGCTGTGTTCTTAAATGTGTGAGCAACCAGTCTTGCTGCCTCAGACTCTATTGTGTTTCCTTTCTGTTGCTGTTAAGAGTTGTTAGCAGTCGTGAAAAGTTTAAAATTTTGTGTAACACATTATTTTATGGCTTGCGTTTAAATCTCAGGATATTTTTGTTTTGAAAGCTGTTAACTGGGGCTAGATCCTATTTAAGCTATCTTTCACCGAAATCCTGGAGAATAGAGTGAGAAAGAGAAAAAGTTATTAGTAAGGTGAAGTGGGTGGAAAGAGAAATAATATGAGAGAGTAGCAGTGGATAAGCGTAACAATATGTTACTGACAGTTGTCTCAGATAATAAAAATATTTCACTGTGGCCTGGACTGGTATTTGTTGTGTTGCTTTTTTGTTTTTCTTTTTTTCCAGATGGAGTCTCACTCTGTTACCCAAGCTGGAGTGCAGCTGCACGATCTTGGCCCACTGTAACCTCTGCCTCCTGGGTTCAAGCGATTTTCCTGCCTCAGCCTCCCGAGTAGCTGGGATTACAGGCACCTGCCACCATGCCTGACTATTTTTTTGTATTTTTGGTAGAGATGGGGTTTCACCATGTTGGCCAGGCTGTTCTTGGACTCCTGATTTCAGGTGATGCTCCTGCCTCGGCCTCCCAAAGTGCTGGGATTACAGGTGTGAGCCATCACCTCAAAAAAGTAAATAAAAATTTTAAAATGGGGATAGGGATTGAGATTCCAGAAAACCTCTTTTTTAATGAGTCTTTGTATTTTGCATATGTAACTGCTTCCTGGTTATTTCCTTCTTAGCACTTAATATGTTTGCAATTTTATTTTATTTTTTTGAGGCAGAGTCTCGCTCTTGTCACCCAGGCTGGAGTCCATTGACGTGATCTCAGCTCATGGCAACCTTCGCATTCCTTCGTGGGTTAAAGCAATTCTTGTACCTCAGCCTACTGAGTAGCTGGGATTGCAGGCATGCAACACCATGCTCAGCTAATTTTTTGTATTTTTAATTGAGGTGGCGTTTCGCCATATTGGCTGGGCTGGTCTCGAACTCCTGTCCTCAAGTGATCTGTCCATCTTGGCCTCCCAGAGTGCTGGGATTACAGGTGTGTATACCCAGTGTGAGAGTAAAGGGTCTGGCACATAATAGCTGTTTGCCAAATATTTGCTAAATGAGTGAAATTGCTGAGTACCTCTCATTTAACTGTCAGAGATGAGAGGTTGACATAATTTTTGTGGTATGTATATACTAGGAGAAAATGTCCACAGGATAGAGTAAATTAATATTCCTTGTCAACCCCTCATTTGATATTGGAATGAAAACAAACTTTCTGGGTTTGATTATATAATAACTTTGTCTCCCCTCCCCGTCATGGGAAATGGAGTATGAGAGAAATTAGTTAAAATGTTTAGTTTTTTGAGATAGAGTCTTGCTCTGATGCCCAGGCTGGAGTGCAGTGGCTCAATCTTGCCTCCCTGCAACCTCTGCCTCCTGGGTTCAGGTGATTCTCCCACCTCAGCCTCATGAGTAGTTGGGATTGCAGACACCTGTCACCACGCCTGGACAATTTTTGTATTTTTAGGAAAGACGAGGTTTCACCATGTTAGTTAGGCTGGTCTTGAATTCCTGGTCTCAGATAATCCACCTGCCTTGGCTTCCCAAAGTGCTGGGATTACAGGTGTAAACCACCACACCTGGTACTTCAATTAAAATGAATCAATGTTTGAGATTAATGCATGTAGGGGGGTACTTTTTCCCTTCAAAATGAACAATTTTTATGAAGAATGTTTAATGCTTAGGGTAAACTGAAAATAAGTTTTATTTTGTGTGTCATAAATCAGTTATATGAAAAAAGTACATGGAAAAAGTTCAGATATTTTAAAATGCTTTGTGATTTTTTTGGTGATAGGATTATTGGAAACATTTCTCTTTAAAAAAAATGGCCCACCAAACTTTACAAAATACTTTCTTTTATTAAAATTGATAAGTTTAAGGAGTGAATTATTTATGTCAATACGTAGTCACTGTTAATACTTTGTTATAAAACAGCAAAGCGATTGTATTAGTTTTAATGAATTTATAGCCTAGTTTGTCTTTTTCCTATTTCCTTTTTTATCTATTTCTTCTTTTGTTTTTTATTTTACTTTTGTTTTTTAGAGACAGGGTCATACCATTGCCCAGGCTTGAGTGCAGTGATACCGATGGATCAGGGCTCATTGTAGCCCTGTCCTTCTGAGCTCAAGCAATCCTTCTGCGTCAGCCTCCTCAGAAGCTGGGACTACAGGCATAAGCCATCGTGCCCAGCTACATAAAAAAATTTTCTTTTTGTAGAGATGGGGTCTCGGTATGTTGCCCCCGCTCGTCTTGAATACCTTGTCTCAAGCAATCTTACTGCCCCAGCCTCCTGAAGTGCTGGCATTACAGGCATGATATCAGCAACTGGCTTCTTTTTTACTCATTGCTTAGAAACTGTGGAATATGGTTTATTACATACTAAGATTTTATTTTATGATGTATTTAAATTTTTTTGTGTTTACATTTGGTCACTTCTATTTTGAGTTTTTATATTAGTTTTTAATATTTTTTATTTGTTAAAGTAATACATTTATATGAAAAGTTATAGAAATATGAAAAAATAGCAGGGATTTTTTTTTTTTTAATAATCCTGATTTGCCAGGAACAACCACTGCTATCTTTTTGGGTGTATATCTTTTCAGAGTTTTTTCTATACAAATACAAAAGTGATTTTCAGCTGGGGGTAGTTTTGCTCCCATGGGACACTTATTTGGCAAGGTCTGGAGATATTTTTGGATATCATAGTTGGAGGCAGGTGCTACTGGCATTTAGTGGATAGTGGACAGATGTGCTGCTAAACATGCACAGGACAGCAGCCTTTCATATTGCAAATAAAGTATTAGCCCAAAATGTAAATAATTGCTGAGGGAAATCCTGATATGCAACTGTGTATATGTATTGGGTTTTACCGTATTGACTAGTCTGGCCTTGACTCCTGCCTCCTTCCTGAGTAGCTGGGATTGCAAGTGTGTGTGCGACACCACACCTGGCTAATATTTGCATTTTGGTTCAATACCATGTTAGCTAGGCTAACTCTTGAGCTCAAGTGATCTGCCCACCTCAAGCTCCCAAAGTGCTGGGATTACACAGGTGTGAGCCTGGGCAGCAATTGGTTTTCTGAGCTTTACTTATAATTGGTTATCTGACGCTCCAGATAACTTTGTATCTGATGTTTATCTTTGTAATTTAAAAAAAAATTTTAGCTATGTATAAATAGAGCTTATCATTCTTGTTATATTTTGAATGAGCCTTGCCTGCATGATATTCTATCTCTGCTGAATTCTTTCGTGTCTGATTTCTTCAAATTATTTGTTAATGAATCTATTCAGAATTCTTTCTTATATCTCCATTAGTATTGTGAAAGGCAAGTAAGAACTCAAGACCTCAATTCACTATGCCAAAGGAAAATATTAAGCTGAAGGCCGTGTCATGTGAGAAACTGCCTTTCCTTTTGTTTATAAGTAAGCTACAGATAAAAAGTTAAATATCTCCAAAGGTAGCTACTCTATGTTCACCTTATCATATGTAAGGTGCTATTCCCTTATCTGCTCCTTTTTTTCCCCTGAGACAGAGTCTTGCTCTCTTGCCCAGGCTGGCGTGCAGTGGTGCGATCTCAGCTCACTGCAACCTTGGCCTCCCGTGTTCAAGCGATTCTTCTGCTTCAGCCTCCCGAGTAGCTGGGATTACAGGCATGCGCCACCTTGCCTGGCTAATTTTTTTGTATTTTTAGTAGACACGGTTTCTCCATGTTGGTCAGGCTGGTCTTGAACTCCCGACTTCAGGTGATCTGCTCACCTTGGCTTCCCAAAGTGCTGAGATTACAGGCGTGCACCACTGCACCCGGCCTAATTTTTGTATTTTTAGTAGAGACGGGGTTTCAACATGGCCAGTGGGGTTGGCCAGGCTGATCTCGAACTCCTGACCTCAGGTGATCCGCCTACCTTGGCCTCCAAAAGTGCTGCAATTAGAGGTGTGTGAGCCACCATGCCTGGCCCAGAATTTCCTTCCTTTTTAAGGCTGAATGATAATTTGTTTATGTATATACCACATTTTATTTATCCATTTATCTGTTAATGGAGACTTGGATTGCTTCCAATTTTAGCACTTGAGTAATGTTGCTATGAACATAGGTGTACAAATATCTCTTTGAGATCCTGCTTTCCATTCTTTTGGTACAACCGAGTTTTACTTGACTATGACAAATTTAGTGCTTTCCATCTGATATGGTGCTTTTCTCAAAATCTGAGTTAAGGGCGTTCAGTTCTTTTTTTTTTTTTTTTAGATGGTCTCTCACTCTCTTGCCCAGGCTGGAGTGCAGTGGCAGTGGCAATGGCAGGATTGTAGCTCATTATAGCCTTTATCTCCTGGGCTCAAGTGATTTTTTTTTTTCTTTTTCATTTCAACCTCCTGAATACCTGTAACTGCAGGCATACCATCAGCATGCCTGGCAAAATTTTTAAATTTTTTTGTAGAGACAAGGTCTTGCTATGTTGCCCTTGCTTTTTTTGAACTCCTGGCTTCAAGCAGTCCTTCTACCTTGGCCTCCCAAAGTGCTGGGATTATATGAGTGAGCCACTGTATTTGGCTGCTGCTTTTTATTCTCCTAAAATTCAAACACTGATTTTTGTTTAAGTTGTAAGAATGCATGAATTTTGGGTGGAGAGTTCCACATAATATCATCTGACTGCTCATTTAAGGCTACAGTGGCCAAACATACCAGATTTTGATTCTGACTTAGATACTAATTTCAACAGAAGCATCCAACACAGCTAGGTACTCTCTGTAAACCTTTAGCCCTACCACCTCAGCCTCACTCAGTAGATGTCTTTACCTCCTACTTAGCAGAGAAAATAGAATCTTATCAGGTGGGAAATTCTTTATTGTTACCAACTCTACACATTTGTGTATGTGCACACACATCCCCTTTTCTTAGGTTGCTGTTAATATGAGAAACATTTCTGTCCATGTAAGGCTTATCTTTCCCTATTGTTTGTTTTTTTTAATTGGCTGTTTAGCACCTGCTGTGTGTCAGCCACTATAAATAAAATAGATCCGTTGCCCTATTGAAGCTTAAATTCTAGTGGGTAGAAAGTAAAGGTTGTTCAGTGGTGTTAAGCACTACATAGAGGAAAGTAAAGCAGAGAAGATTGATGAGGAATGGGTTGATGTGTAACATTGTTATTTAAACAAGGTCTTTTTTTTTTTTTTTTTTAAGAGGACTTTCCCTCTGTAGCCCAGGCTGGAGGGTGGTGGTGCTATCTTGGCTCACCACAACCTCCACCTCCCGGGTTCAAGCAATTCTCCTGCTTCAGCTTCCTGAGTAGCTGGGATTACAGGCATCTGCCATGTAATTATTATTTAAAATGGAAGAGACCATTTTAATTAAAACATTACTGGAAGAGACCATTATTGTTTTCTCTCACATGGGAAATTTTGCGCTATTTCTCCAATTATTTTTTCTGTCCTTGTCTGCTTCTTTGATTCTTATCATGCATATGTTGGTATAGTTAATGGTGTCTTACAGGTTTCTGAGGCTCTGTTCATTTTTCTTCCTTATTCTGTTTCTCAGACTGGCTAATCTCAGTTGACCTATCTTCAAGCTGGTTGATTGTTCTGCCTGCTCATAGCTGCTGTTGAGCCCCTCTATTGAGTTTTTCATTTCAGTTTCTGTACTTACCAACTCCAGAATTTCTGTTTGATTCTTTCTTATAATTTTTGTGTGTTTATTTATTTATTGTTTTGAGATACTCTCGCCCTGTAGCCCAGGCTGGAAGACAGTGGTGCTGTCTTGGCTCAACACAACCTCTGCCTCCCAGGTGCAAGTGATTCTCCTGCCTCAGCCTCCTGAGTAGCTGGGATTACAGGCATCTGCCACTATGCCCAGCTAGTTTTTGTAATTTTAGTAGAGATGGGGGGTTTACGACGTTAGTCAGGCTGGTCTCGAACTCCTGACCTCAGGTGATTTACCCGCCTCGGCCTCTCAAAGTGCTGGGATTACAAACGTAAGTCACTGTGCCTGGCCTGTTGACCTTCTTTATTTGGTAAAATATCATTCTCATATGTTCTCCTTTAATTCTTTAGACATAATTTTCTTTAGTTCTTTCAGCATATTTATAACAGATGATTTAAAGTCTTAGTCTAGGGCTAGGTGCAGTTGGTTCATGTGTATAATCCTAGCACTTTGGGAGGCTTGCTTGAGCCTGGGAGTTTGAGACTTACTTGGGCAACATAGACCTCCATCTCCACAAAAAATAAAAAAAATTAGCCAGGCACGGTGGCACATCCACCTGTAGTTCCAGCTCCTCAGGAGGTTGACATGGGAACGTCGCTTGAGCCCAGGAGAGCGAGGCTACAGTGATCTGTGTTGACACATCTGTGTCACCCAGCCTGGGTGACAAAGTGAAACCCTGTCTCTAAATAAATAAGTCTAGAAAGTTCAATGTCTGAGCTTTCTTAGGAAGAGTTTATATTGACTGCTTTTTCCTCTGTGTATAGGTCATACTTGTTTCTTTGCATGCCTATTTTTTTTGTTGAAAACTAGACATTTTTATTTTTTAAGTACTGGGTCTTGCAGTGTTGCTCAGGCTGAATTTGAACTACTGGGCTTGAGATCCTCTTGCCTCAGCCTCCCAAGTAGCTGAGACTACGGGCATGTGCCACTGTGCCTGGCTAAAAATCTAGACACTTAATATAATGTGGAAACTCTAGAAATCAGATTCTCCCCCTCCCCAGGGTTATTTGTTGTTGTTTCGTGAAGTCTGCATTTTTTGTTGTCTGTGGTTACTGAAATCTATGCACAGTTAGCTTAGTGGTTGAATGAATGGGCAGAGAAGTGAATGAATGAGCAGAGATTTCCTTGGATACCTAAAACATGTAGTCCTCTGGGGTCTTTGCCAAGGGCTCTATGTGTATGTTATGGCATGCCTTCAACATTCAGTCAGGAATTTACAACTCTGCCTGAGCTATTCCTGCCTGTGCAGAGCCTTAATGTTAGCCACAGGTGAGAGTTAGGTACTCCTCTGGTCTTTTCTGAGCATGTGCACAGTGCTATGTGAGTATGGTTCTTAGGAACATGTCAGAGTTTTTCAAAGTCCCCTGCATACATCTCATTTCCCAGCTTTTAGTTTTAACCTTTTTAATTAGCCTCCTGTTTGCTTCAGATTCAGGCAGCCATGATGTTAGTTGTTTCTGATTGTTTTTGATCAAAGGTGCCCATGGAAACATTTATGCTGAATGAGCTTGATGACAGGTCAGATAAAGATGGCTTTGCTAGTGGAATCTTCCAGAGAACCACCAGATATGTTAGATAATGATAGTTCTTTAGGGATGGGATTTAGAAGGAGTTCCAACCCTGTTTTGCCCTCTCCAGTGGCTGCTGATTTTCACTGTGATTGTGGGCTGTTGGATTTCATGGATACTGTGGAAATGGGAAGGAATGAAATGGGAATAGCAAGTTAAAATGCCACAAAGCTTGCAGCTCTATGAAGATTCAGCCGTATTTGTTTAATAGACACTCCCTGGATTGCCACAATCCTTTGGTTTATTTCCGCAGTTTTGAAAAAGTTGATTTTTACAGTTTTGCCATGTTTTTGTTGTTTTTATGAAGGAGAGAATTTCAGAGGTCTCTACCCTGCCATTTTTGCTGACATTAACTTCTCTGTGTCATTGGAGGTCAAGGATGGGAGTAATAACAACTCTTAATAAGGATGCATGAGTTCCTTCTCTGAGCTTAGAGGGTTCGAGGGATCTTAGGTGTTTGTATTCTAGTCAGGTGAAACCGTAAGAGGAGATACAGAAGAGGTTCAAGAAAACCAAGTTTATTATACACACAGGTTTTATAGACAAAAGGCACAGCATGCCATGCAGGGCCCTCCAGGGTAGTCAGTAGACTGAAGACAGGAAGAAGGGAAAGGTTTAAGCCAGAGCCTTTATTAGGGTTCCCATGGGAAAAACAAGGCAAGTACTTTGCAGTTTAGGGCTGGCTAGTTTGAATAATTTTGGTGGGCTCCAATCTATAGGGTTGGTTCCTGGCTCTCTGCTACATGGCCTAGGATGATTAAGGCAGAGGACTATTGCCTACTCAGGTGTAGGGGCCAGATAGAGGAGGTGTGACTCTAGATTAATTTGTTTGTTTATTAAAGGCAGGCTCCTTGCTGAGGCCTTGCTATCTCTAAGAACTGGCTGTCCCTGGGAGGGGCAGCCTACATACAATACGCTGGGGATTAAAGATTTTGAAGTTAACCTGCTCATGTTCCCCTCTCATTTTTCAGGGTCCCTGTTTTCCTTTGTCTATGCTCGCCTTCGTTTAACTTTCTTTTGAGCTCTGCCTCTGATATGATTAGGTCCTGATCCTGGTCCTTAGCAGTTTGTGGCCCCCTGCTGCTGGAAATGAGTGTCTTTTTCTTTTTTTTTTGAGACAGAGTCTCACTCTGTCATCAGGCTGGAGTGCAGTGGCGTGATCTCGGCTCACTGCAACCTCCGCCTGCTGGGTCCAAGCGTTTCTCCTGCCTCAGCTTCTCAAGAAGCTGGGACTACAGGCGCTGCCACCACACCCAGCTAATTTTCCTATTTTTAGTAGAAATGGGGTTACACCTTGCTGGCCAGGATGGCCTCAATCTCTTGACCTCGTGATCTGCCCACCTCAGCCTCCCAAAGTGCTGGGATTACAGGCATGAGCAACCGTGCCCAGCCACATTTAGTTTTTTTATTGTCTGTTACTTTCACCTCTTGTTATAGTTTTCCAAAGAGTCAGTTGTCTTTAACAGTAACAACAAGCCAATTTCATGGTCCCTCATAATTGCTCCTTTCCTCATATTTCTCAAATACCTGATGCATTGCACCTTCTAATGCAGAGATTGTCAAAGTATGGCTTGCAGGCCAAATCCAGTTCTTGGCCTGTTTTTGTGGTGGCCCATTATTAAAGAGTTGTAAAACAAACAGTGACAACAAAAAGAACTGTGAAATGATGCAAAAACCAAGTAATATATTTACTATGTGACCCTTCATGGAAAAGTTTTGCCAACTTCTGCATACTGTTCTACTGGAAAACTACACAGTTTATTACCAATGGAAGTTTCAACATTTGCAGTTCCACTTTATGCTAGGGGCTGTCTGTTCTACTCACCACCAGTGATGGGGTTCGCATTGTCAGCTGGATGATTAGGTGGATGCTGACCCAACTCCAGTACTTTATTTTAGAGCCTGTTTCCTTATATTATTCTTGTCACCAGTGGCTTAAAATTGAGCTCCCTGGGGAAGCTAACTGAGGCAGCAATTAGCATGCATGAAGTTTGTTATGGGAAATCTTTTAGAATCAATGTCTGTGAAAGGAATGGAAAAGAAACTGGGGATAAATTGGGCTGCAACAAAAAGTTCACCTGACCCCGATGTGGAACTCTACAGCTGGTATAGCCCTCAGAGTTGTCCTAAGTTGGGGGAATGGGATAGAGGCTTGATCAGTCATTGGGTGGGGCACTTAGGAGGACAACTGAATTTAACAGAGGTAATTAATTCCTAAAGAGGATTGACAGCTGAGGGCTGTTTTCCGGCAGCATTCCTAGCAGCTGGACAATAAATCCTTCATTCCTGTAAGGGGATATGGGGCAGCACATTAGTGTCTGCTACATATAGCCTCATGTGATTTTTCTAATTAAAATTTACTTTTTTATTTTAAAAAATTGTCATTTTCTTTTTTAATGAATTAGTTTTTCTCATAAGAAAGCTATAAAATACAGTATTCAATAATATACAATTGTATATTTTTACTGATAATAAGATGGACAATTCTTCTTAAGGTATTTTGGAAAAACTGAGCTGTTTTGGTTTTAATTTGTGTAAATTATGGGTTAACCATTTTAGTACTAGAAATATCATCAAGTCCTGATATCCTAATCAAAAAGCTAGCAAATCTTAAAAAGACGGCGAATTCATTCCTCTCGTTTGACAAATGAGAAAGCTGAGAACAAGAGAGAGGGTTATGAAGCTATTAGTGACAAGGAAGGTTAGAATGTAAGTCTCTAAACTTCCAGGCTAGTGTCCTTTATAATAATTTCTAAGAAGAGAATTTTTTTTTTCTTTTATGGCCTTTATAGCCATCTTGTTGCTGTCTGGAACCTTGCAGATGCTTCAGTAACAACAGGAATAGTAAAGTTAACTGTTGGAGTTATATCATTTTGGACAGATGAATCTGATTTATTTTTAACTTTCTTGGAAGGTGATTGATTGCACAGTTAGCTTTGGAAGCTTTTTCCCAGTGACTATGGGTTAGCAGGTAATGGAAATTTTATTTGCTGGCAGGATCATACAATGAACACAGTATTTTCAAGTGAGATCTGAAAGTGCTCTGGCATTTAAATATTTAGTGTTTTAATTTTAGTAGTAGATTATCTTAACCATATCCTAGATCCATATCCTAGATTATTTGACTCATAACTGTCCTTTGAACCTGGGATCAAAATTCGCATTTGTGTTTATGTTTGTAGTGGTGCCAAGTAAATACTGTTTTGACTGTTGGGGACTAATATTAAGGAAAAGAATAGAGATGGTCTTAATGAGTAAGATGATTTTTTTAGTTAAATGAAGACCAAATTATTTTCTAATATGTGGCATTAATGTTTGATAATAATGTGAAACTGAGAAAAAGTACATGTCTTATGAGGCATTTAGTAGTTCACTCATTCCAAACTTAAAAGATATCTGTGGTACAGTTGGTACATTTTCATGTGAGCAGAGATTTATTTTCAGCAAAACCACATCACCAATTTTTTTGAAGTGAAACTTGTTAAGTTGAAATTTGTTTGGAAGTTTTTAGTTTTTAGTTTATTTGGTTTGTGTTTATATTTGTTTTATATTTAGTTTTTAGTTTATTTGGTTTTGTGTTTATATAAGATCCCTAATTTATTTCTGTGTTTAAGTTTGCATAGGTTGTATAACCTCAGAGAAGAGATAATTTATGCGATATTAGAAACTGGAGGAACATGTCATCTTTTTTAAAAGGCTGTGTATAATTCAAGTTGATAGTCTCTATTTCCAGAGTTCTAAATGAGTTTAAAGAAATTGATGTTAGACTACCTGAAGATATCTAGTTGAAGTGTATGAAAATTGGGCCGGGTGCAGTGGTTCATGCCTGTAATCCCAGAACTTTGGGATGCAGAGGCAGACGGATTACCTGAGGTTGGGAGTTCAAGACCAGCCTGGCCAACATACTGAAACCCCATCTCTACTAAAAATAGAAAAATTTGCCTGGTGTGGTGGCAGGTGCCTGTAATCAAAGCTACTCAGGAGGCTGAGGCAGGAGAATTGCTTGAACCTGTAAGACTGAGGTTGCAGTGAGCAGAGATGGCACCATTGCGCTCCACACTGGGTGACAAGAGCAAGACTATGTCTCCAAAAAAAAAGTATATGAAAGTTATAATGAATGTGTCAGTCATATTTTACATGTATATAGGCAGCAAAGGAAGAAAGGGAAACTATGTAGAAGAGTAATATTTTAAATTATTATAATAATAGATTTCTTCTGAATAAAGCATCTCATGCCATAGACTACTGCAAGGAAGTTCTGATAATTTCAGTCTTCGAAGATTCACTCCATTTCTCATGTTATATTTAAGTCTTTTGAATGTGTTTAACTCAAAATATCCTATAGTGAATCTTAGAATTAGGAAAAAAAATTCCTAATTTATTTGTTTTTTAAGTTCACATTTTTGCCAGTTGCTCTTTAGTGTGATGTAGGTATTCATTATGAAATAGTCATGTTCGGCCAGGCACAGTGGCTCTTGCCTGTAATCCCAGCACTTTGGGAGGCTGAGGTGGGTGGCATCATGAGGTCAAAAGTTCGAGACCAGCCTGGCCAACATAGTAAAACCATGTCTCTGCTAAATATACAAAAATTAGCTGTGCATGGTAGTGTGTGCCTGTAGTCCACCTACTTTTGGAGGCTGAAGCAGGAGAATTGCTTGAACCTGGGAGGCGGAGGTTGCAGTAAGCCGAGATTATGCCACTGCACTCCAGGTTTAGGGATAAAGCGAGACTCTATCTCAAAACAACAACAAAAATGGTGGCCCATGCCTGGAATCCCACTGCTTTGGGAGGCAAAGGTGGGTCTCAAAAAAAAAAAAAAAAAAAGAAAAAAAAAAAAAGTTATATTCTCCCTACTAAGATCTACTTGATAAATCCTATACTTAGTGAAGTTAGACACTACCTGTAGTTTACTCAGTGTGTGTGTGTGTGTGTGTGTGTGGTTTTGAGACAATATCTTACTCTGTCACCCAGGCTATAATGCAGTGGTGGGATCATAGCTCGTTGCAACCTCAGCCTCCCAGGCTCAAATGATCCTCTTGCAGTAACCTGCTAAGCATAATAGCTGAGACTACAGGCACAAGCCACCATTACAAGCTAGTTTAGTTTTTGTAGAGTTGGGGTTCCCCTGTGTTGCCCAGGCTAGTCTTGAAGCAGAAGGAAGATTATGTTGACAAATAATGTCTTATATAAGATTATAAATTAAGATTAGTGAAATATCTAGCTAGGAACAATGATCTAGCTGGGAACAATGGTAGACGCACTCATGTCCTAGCTACTCAGAAGGCTGAGGTGGGAGGATCACTTGAGCCCGGTAGTTTGAGACCAGCCTAGACAACATAGTAAGATCCTGTCATCCCCACCATTATTATTATCATTATTATTATTATTATTTTATAGAAATAAGGGTCTTGCTGTTGCCCAGGCGGGTCTCGAACTTCTGGGCTCAAGCAGTCTTCCTGCCTTGGCCTCCCAAAGTGCTTGGATTACAGGTGTAAGCCAGTGTACCTGGCCAATTTACTCACTCTTTAATGGGGAAATGTAGACACATATAAAAGAATTATGATGAATTGAGTTGAGCACCAATAGCAGTTTCATTTAGTCTTTACTCTTGAAAAGATATTATACATTTTACTAGGGCACCGCCCCCCCACCCCCGCCTTTTTTTTTTTTTTAAGAGAGAGGGGCCAGGCACTGTGGCTCACATTTGTAATCCCAGCACTTTTGGAGGCTAAGGCTGGTGGATCAGTTGAGCCCATGAGTTTGAGACTAGCTTGGGCAATAGCAAGACCCTCATTTCTTTTTCTTTTTCTTTTTTTATGGAGACAGAGTCTTGCTCTGTCACCAGGCTGGAGTGCAGTTGGCACAATCTCGGCTCACTGCAACCTCTTCCAGATGCAAGCAATTCTCATTCTTTAGTCTTCCGAGTAGCTGGGATTACAGGTGCCTACCACCACACCCAGATTATTTTTGTATTCTTAGTAGATACAGGGTTTCGCTGTGTTGGCCAGGCTGAACCTCAGGTGAGTCACCTGCTTCAGCCTCCCAAAGTGTTGGGATTATAGGCAAGCCACCACACCTGGCCCACGTTTGCCTTTTTTTTTTTTTTTTTTTTCTTTTTTTGAGATGGAACCTCATTCTATTGCCCAGGCTTGTGTGCAGTGGTTCAATCTCAGCTCACTACAACCTCCACCTCCCAGGTTCAGGTGATTCTCCTGCCTCAACCTCTTAAGTAGCTGGGATTACAGGTATGAGCCACCATACCCAGCCCCCTTTGCCTTTAAAAAAATTTTTTTATGTTGTTGTTAAGTTTTCCATATACTGTTACCTCTTTTTTTTTTTTTCACTCCAACATAAGTTGTCATGCTAGTACATATACTGTTATCTCTACCAGTGTGTTTGAGGATGTCCAAAAAGAATTTTAAAAAACATTTTTAATAGTCATGTGGACTGATGTATTCAAATAAAACTTTTTTTTTCTTTTTTGAGATGGAGTCTCTCACTTTCTCCCAGGCTGTACTACAGTGGTATGATCTCGGCTCACTGCAGTCTCCTCCTTCTAGGTTCAAGCAATTCTCCTGCTTCAGCCTCCCGTAGCTGGGACTATAGGCGTGTGCCACACGCCCAGCTAATTTTTTTGTATTTTTAGTAGAGACGGGGTTTTACCATGTTGGCCAGGATAGTGTCAATCTCCTGTCCTCATGATCCGCATGCCTCAGCCTCCCAAAGTGCTGGGATTACAGGCGCGATCCACTATGCCCACCTTCATATAAAACTTTTAAATGTTATTTTATTTATTTTTACTTTATTTTTTTTAAAAGAATAGAGAAGGGGTCTTGCTATGTTGACCAGGCTGGTCTCGGACTCCTGGCCACAAGCAGTCCTCCCATGTTGGCCTCCCAAAGTGCTGGGATTACAGTCGTGAACCACTGCTCTCAGCCTTTAATGACATTTTCTAATAAGGTTTTTTATAATATGGTTTCTGCTAACCTTTCAGTTTTGTATTCCTTCTGTCTCTTCTCCTCTATTGTCTTTCTCCCACCCCCACCCCTACCCCCACCCCCAAACACACACACAAAATACAGTTCCAGCCATTCTTTGTTTCCCTAAACTCTAGTAAAGTTAGTGTATCCTCTTCTCCAGGCCTTCGCACATACTGTTTCCTCTACTTGTAACACTTCCTCTCCCATTTGATTTGAGTTCTCTTCAGGTCAAAGTTTAGCTATAATTTCCTCTGGGAAACCATTTTTGAGCCTGCAAGTGTAAATGAGGTATTCCTCCTATGTGATGAAATTCCTTTATTATAATATTTATTAATCTGCATTATAGATGCCTGCCCTGTTTACTTTCTCTCCAACAGTAGGCTGTAATCTCTGTGAGGGTAGGGATTGTATTGCCCTGTGTATCATTGTATCCCAGAATGAAATAATGACTACAGGAATTCATCTTATTAACAAATTTGTGTTTCTTGTGAGTTCCAGGAACTCTGGGTGATACAGAGTTGAACGTAAGTTCTTTTATTCAGGTAACTTCAAATCTAATGGGGGAGAAATAGATTTCCTCATACCTTGACCTATTCCACGTCACCTCTTTAATAGTGAGAACTTCATGATTAAATAGTATGATCATATCTGGTCAAAACCAAGGTGAAAATAGAACCTGGAAATATGCTGGCCTGTTTCTGAAGCAGCAAATGATTAGACTATCTTCTCTTTCTCGTATCAGTCAAGAGTAAGCTAAGTTGTGATTATCTTAATGCTGTATTTTAGTTCCTTCTTTTTCTAGTACAGCTGGCCTTCTGTATCTGGGTTCCACATCCTTGGGTTCAACCAGCCGTGGCTCATAAATATTCAAGGAAAAGAAAGGACTATTGCATCTGTGTTGAACATGTACAGACTTTTTTACTTGTCATTATTACCTAAACAATACAGTTTAACAACTATTTATATGAACCTATATTGTATTAGGTATTGAAAGTACGAGATGATAATTTGAAGTATATGGGAGGATGTGCATAGGTTATATACAAATACTACACCATTTTATATAAAGGACTTGAGCATCTAAGTTAAGGAACCTGTCTCCCCTTTTCCATACCAAGTATGTGTCATCTCTTCAAAGTCATAGTGCCCTCAGAAGACTGCTAGAACACTCTTGCCACTCTGGTTTGCTATTATTTCTCTTTAACTCCTTGAGTCATTAAGCCCAGGAATGTTTTTAGGAAATGTATACAGGAGTCCCTCTTTCCTGAGTTTATAGCCTCTTTGTTCTGTCCCACTCCACATTTCTGAATTGGAATGACACACATGCTCTTAAATTCTGTGAGCCTTACTTCCATTTCTTGATTTAGTCATCATTGTCACCATTATGAGTCTTTCAATAACCGATGACATACACTTTGTATTAATGTCATCTAATTATACAGATATGGAAATTGAGGTAATTAATTTGCCCAGGGTCACATGAATTAGTACACGTTAGGCTGTAAGTCCTGTGTTCAAATGACTGTTTCATTGCTGTTCTCTCCCTACCTCCCAATCTGCTACCTTTGGAGAAATAGTCACTGTATCACTGGACTGCCACAAAGAGGAAGGCTTTTGAATCCAGGCCTAGGTGTATAGCAGCAGCAAGCCATCTCTTCCCATTATGGGTGCTATTGCTGTGAAAATAGAGGAAGTTCATGTTGAAGAAGAATGTAGTCAGAGTCTGTTTGTGGAAGGGTGCCAGGCTGGACAGGTTACTAGAACAGGAGGCTTTAGTGATTGCTTAGTGGGCCAAAGAATAAAGTAACCCACCCCTCTCTTTATCTTCATCTTGACCACACTACTTTCTGTGGATGATTCAAACTCCTTTTCATATGAGTCTTTTATTTTTGAAGGTTGAGAATCTACCTGGTGTAGTGAAGTAGACTAGAGACCTACTGTCCTGATTCTTCTATCTTACTAGCCAAGATAGTGTCCATGGGCAAGACACTTTACCACCAGAGGAGGTGGCTTAGTCGCCTAATTTGTAAAATAATTATAATTCTTTGTCAGAAGTAGATATTACAGAGCTGGAGTAGTCACTTCCTGTGGTATAAATAGTGTGAACAAAGGTTGGATGGCCATGAAGTGCAAGGTCTTTGTGAGTAATGTTGCATGGTTCACTTGTGGTAGATACAGAGGAATGATGAAAAATAAGCTTGAAAATGTAGATGGGGAGAACCTTGAAAATAGCCTATTAGGACAGTAGATGAGCCATTCAAAACTTCATAGGAGAGAAGTGAGAGAACCTGCTTTATAATTGCACCATGACTTCATTTTCTTCATTAATCTCTTTTGCTTTTTAAATGTTCACATTTTAAGGAATAAATTGGCATGCCAAACAAGTTTTGCTGTTTCATCTCCATTCATTGATATGGTTTAATTTTGTTGTAGCTGGGCTCAGCAGACTTCTACCTTGTATTGTATATGTTTGTTTAGTAAATATATTTGGTAAAATGAAGAAAGGTAAATAACAAGTAAAAATAGGTTGTGTTGTTAGCAGAAATATACTTGTATGTTTCATTAAACATAGAAATTGGCATAAAGAGATAAGCATAGAAAAGTTAATACCTGGAGCAGCTTTTTGCTTTTTAACTTTTAGTTTGAGTTTAAGGGTCAGAGTTTGATTGATATTATCTTTTAGGATTTGCTCATGAGGCCAAACTGCTGCTCTTGTCACGGGACCTAGCTGAGCATCTTGGACATTGTTTTTTTAATATGTCAAGTCAGTTTCAGTCTTGTTCACTATAATAAAGGTTTATTGAATGTCTGGAATAAGGGAATACATGGCTTCTGCTCAGGGCTCACAATCCAGTGAAGGAATGTAAAACTTACTTTAATATACAAGACATTTTGAAGAAAGCACTGCAAGCATTGAGAAAAATAATTACATTTAACTGGTTAGATGTAAGAAAATATTGTGGGCAGAATCACAGTGAGTAGTCAGAATAATCTTTCTGGAATGCAACGATTGATTATTTTATTGTTTTACTTTTTTAAGCTGCCATGGCTCCCCCAAATTTTTAATATGACCCTCAAGGTCCTACATGACCTGGTTGTGAACTGTTTGTCTAGCTTCAGCTTAAATTATATTTTATAGTTTCTTTTTCCTGCTGTCATTCCTCTGCGTTACTGTTGCCCTTCCTCTGGAGTTTTACTGTTCTTTGTATACTCAGAGTATAATAGTATGCAGCCTGTACTAAGAAGTGTGTCTGAAGGACTGTATGCCCTGTTGTACCATAAAGAGGATATATTTATGCAGACACTGAAATGGAGGAACAAAATTTTGTTGGTAATTGGAGCTTGAGTATTTTGTTTTGATTATCCTTCCATACAGTGAAATAAATGGAGATATCAGAATACAACAAAATGAATTTTTTGCTTTGTGGATTTCTTTGTGAAAACGACTATAAAGAGTAAATTAAATATGTAGTATGTGTGTGAGAGATGAAATTCAACATTGATTTTTCTTTCCTTCCTTTGAGAGTTGAGTTGCTATTAACAAATTCAAATTAATTAACACTTTCATTACTGAAAAAAATAGTTGATAACTTCTATTTAAGAGTGGCACTATATTACACTAAAGCAGGTATGAGCCAGAATGAATTGTCCTTTTTTTCTATTTATTTCCTATGCTTGAAGAAACATTCACTTATTCAATAAGAGTTAGCTGGCACCTGCATTATGCAGGATGGAAAATGTAATTTGTAAGATGCCAGGGTAGCACTGTAGTAGGATATAATGATGTGGCCTGTGTTTTCAAGGAACTTATTTTCTGCATAGTATGAAAAGTAAAAGAAATACAGGAATAGTGTATAGGTAAAAGGTTTATTACCTTTTAGGTTAGGTGCTTGTCTTACTTGCAAATATGTCCTTTCTGACTGCTGTCTAGCTACTACAATAATAATCACATTCCTGATAAATGCTTGAGTTCTTGAAGGCATTTCAGCCACATCATTTCTAAGGAAAACTTGTACTGGTCCCTTTCTATGTTTTCTAAATGGGTTAGTGGGATAGATAATGTAAATAAAAATACATATTTCTCTTAGTTTTCTTTCGATCCTGGAATACTCCAGGTGGCCAGTGCTTTTTTCTTTCTCCTTTTGAATCTGCTTTTGTTGTTCTTAGCGTTTTAGAAGCATACCTGTCCCTCATACGCATCTATGCAATGAAGCCTTATACATGTTTTACAAATGGAAGGTAAAAGAAGAGGGAAATTTTATACCTCATTCATTTTCTGGGAAGATCATTCTCTCCTTCCCTAGATTTCCCGTGTTGTGGTTAAAGCTGAGAATTCCTGAGAGAGAGTGAGAGAGTGCGCTCCCGCCCATATGTGCTTATGATCAAGAATGAAAAGAGAGCTGAGGGGGTGTGTGGGAGGCGTAATAGAATAGATTTCAAGCTAGGTCTTGAAAAACAGGTAGTATTTGGACAGAAAAAATGGAAAAGGATATTAATGTGTGCCTAAGATATTAACAAAAGATAGAAGCGTGCAAACATTAGCAAAAGATGTAAGTGTGTAAATGTTAGCAAAAGATGTGTTTCTTATGATAAAACTATTAACAAACATAAGTCCAACATGGGTCATCATTTAAACATATTTATGTGAGGGTCTTAAAGTTCTCCTTAATGGTATATTTTCCTGTGTAAGAAATGTTTATGAAACTTTTCAGACTACTAAATATCAAATATTTGTATTATAAAAAATAATAGTAGAGGACGGATCCAAGATGGCCGATTAGGAGCAGCTAAGGATTGCAGCTCCCAGTGAAAGTGCAGAGGGTGAGTGGATGCTGCATTTCTAGACGGATTTTTATTGCCCACAGACCAGGAGATTCCCAGGCAGAGGAGCCCCACAGGTTGCCAGTGCGGATATTTCGGCCGGCGCAGCTGTTGCAGCCAGTGCCGTGCTGCGGTGATTCTCCATACAAAATATGCGGATCCGGGCACCGGATTTTAGCTGGTGATTGGAGCTTGGGGAAGACAGAGTCACCCATTCAGCTGATAGAAAAGGGGACTGAAACAGGGAGCCAGGCCAGGAGATTCCTGGGCAAAAAAGTGCCACGAATCTTAGCACGGCTGTTTCAGCCAGCGCAGTGGGTTGCCGCATGGGAAATCACACAGATCGTGGCGCTTTTTCAACAGGTGACTGGAACACTTGGGAGACAAAAAAAAAAAAAAAAGACTCTGAGGCAGAGAGCCAGGTGATCAGGCTCAGCTGGTCCCAACCCCACAAAAAAACAGCAATCTGAAATGCTCTGGATTGAGAGTTTCACAGCAACCCGGGACGGTCCAACTCTGTGGGGGAGGGGTGTCCGCCATTACCGAGGCACTCCACCACTACGGAGGTAGTCCACCATTGCTGAGGCAGCCCACCATTACAGAGGTGGGCCGCCATTGTTGAGGCAGTTCTAACTACACCCGTAAAAACAGGACTGCAGGGAAGTTCACATGGCAGCTGGGCAGAGCCCAGAGCAGCTCAGCAAAGCCTCTGCAGGCAGGCAGTGACTAGGCTGGCTCCTCGCTGGGCAGGGCAGCCCTGATAAAAGACAGCAGCACAACAGAAACTCATAAATAAAGCCCTAACTCCCCGGGATAGAGCACGTGGGGGAAAAAAAGGGGGGGTTTATGAGTTCTGCTGCAGCAGATTTAAACATACCTGCCCAGCAACTCCGAATGAACAACAGAGCTCACAGCTCAGCACTTGAGCTCCTATAAAGGACAGACTGTCTCCTCAAGCAGCTCCCTGATCCCCGTATATCCAAATAGTCACCTCATAAAGGAGAGCTCAGACTGACATCAGGCGGGTATCCTTCAGGGACAAAGATAGCAGAAGAAACTGGCAGCAACCCTTACCGTTCTGCAGCTGCTGCAGGTAATCCCCAGGCAAGCAGGGCCTGGAGTGCACCTCAGCAGTCCTACAGCAGAGGGGCCTGACTGGTAGAAGGAAAACTAAGAAACAGAAAGAAATAACTTCATCATCAACAAACTGGACGTCCACTCAGAGACCCAATCTGAAAGTCAACAACTACAAAGACGACAGGTGGATAAATCCACAAAGACAGGAAGAAACCAGTGCTAAAAGGATTGAAACACCCAAAATCAGAACACCTCTCCTCCCACAAGGGATCACAACTCCTTACCAGCAAGGGAACAAGGCTGGATGGAGAATGAGTCTGATGAATTGACAGAATCAGGCTTCAGAAGGTGGGTAATAAGAAACTTCTGTGAGCTCAAAGAATGTGTTCTAACCCAATGCAAAGAAACTATAAGAACCTTGAAGAAAGACTGGACTAAATGCTAACGAGAATAAACAACTTAGGAATATAAGTGTATTGATGGAGCTGAAAAACACAACATGAGAACTTCGCGAAGCATACCCAAGTTTCAACAGCTGAACTGACCAAGCAGAAGAAAGGATATCAGAGGTTGAAGGTCAACTCAATGAAATAAAATGAGAAGGCAAGATTAGAGAAAAGAGGGTAAAATGGAATGAACAAAGTCTCCAAGAAATATGGGACTATGTGAAAAGACCTAATCTTCGTTTGATAGGTGTACCTGAATGTGACGGAGATAATGAATCCAAGCTGGAAAATACTCTTCAGGATATTATCCAGGAAAACTTCCCAACCTAGGAACACAGGTCAATATTCAAGTCCAGGAAACACAGAGAACACCACAAAGATATTCCTCAAGAAGAGCAACCCCAACACACATAATCGTCAGATTCACCAGGGTTGAAATGAAGGAGAAAATACTAAGGGCAGCCAGAGAGAAAGGTCGGGTTACCCATAAAGGGAAGCCCATCAGACTCACAGCAGATCTCTCAGCAGAAACCCTACAAGCCAGAAGAGAGTGGCTTGTAATATTCAACATCCTTAAAGAAAAGAACTTTCAACCCAGAATTTCATATCCAGCCAAACTAAGCTTCATAAGTGAAGGAAAAATAAAATCCTTTACCAACAAGCAAGTACTCAGAGATTTCATCACCACCAGGCCTGCTTTACAAGAGCTCCTGAAAGAGGCACTAAACATAGAAAGGAACAACCAGTACTAGCCACTCCAAAAACATACCAAATGGTAAATAGCATGAACACAATGAAGAATCTGCATCAACTAATGGGCAAAACAGCCAGCTAGCACCAAAATGGCAGGATCAAATTCACATATAACAATATTAACCCTAAATATAAATGGGCTTAATGCCTCAATCAAAAGACACAGACTGGCAAATTGAATAAAAAGCCAAAACCCATCGGTGTGCTGTATCCAGGAAACCCATCTCACATGCAAGGATACACAAAGGCTCAAAATAAAGGGATGGAGGAAGATTTACCAAGCAAATGGAGAGCAAAAAAAAATTTTGCAGGAGTTGCAATTCTTGTCTCAGATAAAATAGACTTTAAACCAACAAAGATCAAAAGAGACAAAGAAGGATATTACATAATGGTAAAAGGATCAATGCAACAAGAAGAGCTAACGATCCTAAATATATACACACCCAATACAGGAGCACTGAGATATATAAAGCAAGTTGTTAATGACTTACAAAGAGACTTAGACTCCCACACAATAATAGTGGGAGACTTTAACACCCCATTGTCAAT